GGTGATGGAAGGGATAATTTGGTGTTTTGTTTTATTTTTATTTATTTATTTTTAAAATTTTTATTTATATGTGTGTGTGTGTGTGTGTGTGTGTGTGTGTGTGGCCAGCTCAGCCACTATAACTGCCCCTGTGGCAATCATGGAAGGGACATTTTGTCTCCCTAGGACTAATAGGGCCATGAGGCACCTTACAGCCAAAGCTGCCACCTCCCCTCCCATGGCTCTGCATTATTTACATACTTCGTGAGACCTCTGAAAAGTAAATGGTTAAATGCTCAATTATCTGCTGTGGAGTTTACTAAGACTTCGTATCTGAAATCTTTTCTTCAGCTCTGATGAGGAGGGAAGGAGGTTAAATAGACAATTCCTGGGCAGGTCAAAGAGGCAAAGGTGACTTACACTAGGGGACCAAGGTGTGGCTCCCAAATCCTGCTTCAATGTTCTCACACATGCAAGGCAAATAATGAGAACAACTTGTGTGCACTTAGGTCCCTGTTCTACTACTCACTGTGTGGTTTTAGAGAGGTTTTACATGCCTCATCTCTAAAATGGGTAAGTTTTTTTTTTAAGACTAAATTCATAATTCTCTAGTTTAATCTAAATATTTTAACCCTTAAAACGTAATTCAGGTACTTTAAATGAAGGAGTAAGGCCTTGTTCAGAAGCACCTAATAAAAAACAAGAAATAGTAGACACTTTTTTTTTCCTACTTTTATTTATAAAGAACACAACTCCTCCTGACACAGACACAAATACTCACACAAACCAAGGAGGAGTCCATTAAAACAACAACAACAGAACTGGGGGAAACAGTAGGACCTTATTTAACAGGACTGTGCAGCCCAGACTTGGGAATGACTGAGAACATTGTCTCAAATAGTACATCTCACCTCAACAACAGGAAGAGAGACTTTCACCTGCAGGACCCACCTGCCAAAGGGCAGAAAGCTCCACATTCAGTCTTCAGCATCATCAAACTGTCCTGTTTCAAAGACCATCTTGGAATAATGGGGAATCAGTGGAGGAGGATGGTGCCAGCTGGGGTCATAGATCATGTCTCCTTGCGGGGCACAGCATACCCAAGGTTTGATCTCTTGACAAATGCTCCCCTGAATGTCATCAGCATCTGCAGGCAGTTTCAAAAGGCAGATTAGCGGAAGGAGGAAAGGTGAAAGCAGATTGTTAAAACAATCAGAGACTCCCGCTATTTTGTTTAGTAACACAAACATATGTGTAGACAAACATATACAAACATAGTGCTTCTTTCCTAAAGAATTGCAAACAGTCATTCTGAACCCATTTGTGCTTCTCAGACAAGGTTCTTAGCAGTGTAGAGGAAGCAAGTGGAAAACAGAGCACTTCTGTCTGCAGCTGCTCAATTCAATTCAAAGATTTTTGGAGAGAGTAACATTTTTTCCATGTTAAAACAAAGTGCTACATTATGGAGACAACTGCAAACTTTGCAGTTTTGTTGTTTTTTTTTTTAATTGTGGTTAAATATAAAAAAAGAAGCTGTCACAAAAACTTCAGATCTGTAGTGACTACGAGGCTGAACCCATCCACATGGCCTCCTTTTCCAAACTGTCTACCTTCAGGGTTAGTCTGGAAAGAGGGTCTGAAAAGGTCTGGCTCAGGATCCCAGCCACTCCACACCTACCATAAGGATTCCCTTGATCTGCTTTCAACTCCATATCCCAGTCCTCATTAAAAAGATCAGCAGTCCGTTCCTTGGGTGGACAACGTGTTGCTTCTGACAGCTCCCAGGCATTCTTTTCCCCATCAGACTCCTCATCCACAGCAAGGCCTTCAGCTTCAGAATGTGTGTCCTCGCCGTGGGTAGGAATGTCATTAGGGATGCTCTGGGCTCCACTGGCTAAGAAATCGACAACAGGAAGGTCTTAAAACTAAAACACCAGGGAAGGCCTGCTTGTGTGCTTGGAAAATGTGTGGAAGACTAAGTGGGCAGTAACACAGGTGGGCAGAGCTCTTGGTCATCTACACACTTGCTGTTTACATATCTAGAGGTAAGGTAGATCATTTCTTGTCAGTTTTTTGGGTTTTTTGGGTACCAGGAATTGAACTCAGGGCCTCGTGTTTGCCAAGCAGGCACTGTGCTGCTGAGCTATACCCCTGGCCCAATCAATTCATTTCAATAAGATGTTTTGTCTTAAGGCCATTAATGGCCAGGTCTTATAGTTTACAATGGCAGCTAAGCCCAGTTTACATTTTCAAATGGTGTGCATGTCAGTGAGCCAAAGGCCTCTGACAAAAGATATGCTTTTTCACAACACAAGTTTGTGTTGAATTGTACTCTTCAATTCCTTCCTTCAGTCTTGAAGAGCATGTTAGAGATGAATGCGAGTATGAGAGGAGCAGAAGAAACAGGCAGAAGAGCATGGCCTGTCTAGTCACAACATGCAGCCTCCGTGTTCCTCTTCCAGACCTTGAGGAAGCTGGAGGGAACGTCTGAGGAAGGACAGCATGGAAGGTTATGGTATTGCCAGGTAGGTGCTGGGCTACGAATCAACCTGAAAGCAGCTGTTAACACTATAACAATAATAACAGTTACAATCAAGAGGTCTAAAACCAGAATGTCCGGGCTCAGTTCTGGTCTGTCAATTACTCAATGTGTAACTGAGCTCAAACATCCTTAACTGATTCCTCAATAACTTAAACCCAGAATTATCATACGACCCAGCAATTCCACTCCTAAATAGACACAAAGGAACTGAAAGTAGGTAGTTACAAAACAAGAATGTTCACACCAGGACTACTCACAATCACCACAAGCAGGACACAACCCCAAATGTTCCCCCATGCATGAACCGTCAATAGAAGGTGTCATATTCATGCATTGAAGCATTCAGCCATTAAAAATGCTGATACATGCTGCAATGTGAATGAACCTTGAAAACATGCAGAGTTGAAAGAAGCCAGACACGAAAAGACTACATATTGTATGACTATTTATAGTCAACTCACATTTGCCTACCAGAATATGTAAATTAGCAGAGATGGGAAGCAGATTGGCAGAAAAGAGAAGAATGGAGTGACTACTTAATAGGTGTACAGGATTTCCTTTTGGGATGTAAAAATGTTCTGGAACTAGTAGTAAGGACTACACAGCACTGTCATTGCACTAAATGCCACTAATCTGTATGCTTTAAATGGTAAATTTATGTATCTTTTACCATAACTTAACATTTACTTTGTGCCTCAGTCTCATCTGTAATATAGCACTGCTGTGAGTCTAAAGAAAGAGGCTCCTTAGAGCCGTGCCCAGCACACGCTGAATACTCAGTAAGTACTAGCTGTGGCGACTACCATCGGTTAGGTGTTTGAGCTAGACCAACACTACCCACTGGCTTCTCTTCAGGGATGGAAATGCTCTATACTCCGCACTGTTCAACAGCACAAGCCACAGGTGACCACAGAGCACATGAAATGTAGCCAGTGTAACCAAGGAACTAATTTCTCATTTTATTTGATTACAATTAAATGTATCTAGCATCACTGGCTAACGGCTATTGTACTTGATCCTCCTCCTTCAATCCTCAGAACCGTATAGGACAGTAATGGGGAACCTTTTACAGTTTTTAACGATGCAAATGCAAAGAGTTTGCGGCAGCATACATGCCAGAGGTTCACTACCACTGCCCTAGGAGACAGATATTATCAGCCCCACATTACAAGTAAAGAAACACTAAATGACTTAAGGCTAAGGACCCTCTGACCTGGGGGTGAAACTAAAAATATTTTTGACTGGCTCCAAAGCCTGTATTTTTTTTCACTGTTCTAACCTGTTCCTTTTTATGGAAGGGGTGGTTTTAGACATAAGGAAAGCCCAGAACATCCCTTAAGGAAGCACCATAGGCCTTTCTAAACAAGGGCATGGTTGAAATACAGGGCAGTGGCAAAAAGGTTCAGCTTCAACACTTGGGAGGCTGAGGCAGGAGGATAACTGCGAGTTCCAGGCCAGGCTCAGCTACATAGTGAGTTCAAGGCCAGCCTGAACTACATAGAGAGATTCTGTCTTTAAAAACAAAGAAGAGGAAGAGAAAGAAAAGGAGGAAGAAGAGGAGGAGGAGGAGGAAGGGGAGAAAGAGGAGGAGGAAGAGGAAGAGAAGGACCAGCTAGTAAGGAGAGGCAAACAAAGCACAGGACCTGTCCTCTCATCTTTCCTCCATCTCTCCCAAGAGCCACTTGACTCCTGCCATCTACTTGCCTAGTCGATCCATGGCCATCTCAGTCTCTCTCTGGGGACCAGAATGGTCAGCTGTGGCAAGGTCAACCTGCAGAAAAAGTAATTTACAGGAACTTCGGGATCTGGGATGTGCCCCAAAACAAGCCATTGCTGTGCAGCTGCAGCAACCCTCCCACACCTCCCTTCAGGGCACAGTAATGAGATCCTGCAACCCCCATTTCCACGATGCTGCCTACACCCAGCAAGCGTGGAGAAAGAAAGGTCTTGTTCCTTCCATCCCAGCAACACTTCTTCACCCATGCCAGTGGGAGCACCTTCCTGTCAAAGTCAATGAATGCAGTTGCCAGTTTTGCCAGTACCTGCAGACCCAGGTCAATGACAGGCCATCTCTTCTGGGCCCTGGGCTCTGGAAACCCAAAGCCAGCTGGGGCAATACCCTCTGCTTGGAGGTTCACACTTCAAAACTGTAAAGCCTTTCCTCTAAATAAATAAATAGGCGAGGTCTCATTACGTAGGGCAAGCTGGCCTCAACTTTGTGGCAATCCTGCCTCAACCTTCCAAGTGCTGGGATTGCAGCTGTGCACCACCACACCCAGCCATGCTTATGTATTTTAATCACTCCAACTTCATCCCTTTGTTTCCTCAGCCATGGGGTTGGCAGCTGTTTGCTGAAGGTGCCACCTGCTTATACACTTTTACCTTTTTAGTTACTTAACATCTTGCTGGGCATGGTAGCCGCAAACCTGTAATCGCAGGACTCCAAAGGCTGAGGCAGGATGACCTATAAATTCACAGCAAGCCTGAACTACATACAATAGCTTACCTCAAAACAAAAAATTCTATGTATAGAACAACTTCCACCCAATTGTCTCTTCACTGATATATGGGAAGGACAGAACTTTAGTTCCTCTCCAAATGCTAAGCACGGAAAGCAAATTTCTAATCCCCCATCACCAATGAGATATTTCTCTGGTCTCATTACCTGAAAAGTTTCTAAGACCTGAGGTCATGGTGGAACCTGCCTGTAATTCTATTCAGGAGGATGAGACAGGAGGATTCCAAGTTTGAGGCCAGCCGGAACAACCCACTGAGACTATCTAAAAATGTAAAAATAAAATAAAAAGCTAGGAATGTAGCTTGGTAGCGGAGTGCTTGCCTAGCAGGCACAAAATTTCAGGTTCAACTCCCAGTACCATCAATAAATAAATAATCTGGGCATGGCAGTTCATGCCTATAGTCATAGCACTCAAAAGGCTGAGGCAAGGCTGGGGAGATGGCTCAGTGGAATAAGCGCTTCCCTGACAAGCATAAGGGCCTGAGTTTGATCCCCGGTTACACCAGAAAAGAAAAAAAAAAGGCTGAGGCAGGAGGATCACTAGGACTACATACATACATATATACATACATTCATAAAAAGTGTCTGTACCCTATCACCTCCAAGATCTCTTTTTAACGATACACAAGATATGTTCACAGCCTGTAATGATTAGACTGATTTCAGTCCTATCTCTTCCATTATTAACTCAGTGTCACCTCTCCTGGAAATAGGAGGTGACTGACCTCACCTTGCAAGAGGCTTACAATGAAGTAACATTTAAGAAACTCCTAGCATGCTGCAGGAATGTAACATTTCTTGAATTTAAATTCACCATTTATCCAACACCTAAATTGTACTTGGCTCTCGCCCCAGTTAATATTATCTACTCATGCAAGCGTTTAACAATGATTCTATCCCACCAACCACTGGTAACTGCTGCCTACACCAAAGGGCTGGACTTCTCATCTAAACCACTGCCATAGCCTTCTAAACACCTCTCCACTCCCCAGCCTCACAGGGGGCAATCACTGATCTGCTCAAAACCTTCAATAGTCCTCCACTGTCCCAGCACAAAATTAGCCACGCTGTTGACACTCTCACTCACCTGCCCATGGACTTGTTAAACATATTTCTCTGCATGCCTGGGACTCAAACTCCAAGTCATTTGCCCTGCACATTCATTCTCATTTCTATGCCCTTGTAGGCACTCCCCCTTCTCACCTTGGAGAAAAAGTACCATATTCTTCCTATTCTGATAAAAATCAATCTTGTCCCATTGTTCAACCCAAACTAATTGTCTTTTCTGTTTAGGTCTGGCTTGGTTTGGTTTTTTGAGACTGTCTGGCTAGTTTGAGCTGGGCTGGAACTCACAGCAATCCTCCTACCTCACCTCCCAAGTGCTGGAATTACAAGCGGGCGCCACCATGCTCGGGCAAACTAATTTTCTTCATAAACCTATGGCTACATTTTTCATATCCTGAGTTTAACACCATGTTTGATGCATAAGCAAACATTCCATCCATCCATTCAGTTAATATGCATATGTAACGTTCCATGCACAATGGCAGGCATTTGGGGAAACAGCCCTCAGCAGAGTTCCTATTGTCAGGGAGCTCACTGTTGACCAAGGGATCAACTGTGAACAGGGGCAGGTGATGGCTGTATTGAAGATTATGGGAAAAAAAGAAGCTGTCTGGGACGCACACAAAAACAAGTTTCTAGAAAACCTGCGTCAAACTGGACGTTTTGGTCTGAGTAAACAGAAGAGGGGATGGCGCATGTGGCATCCCCTGGCGCCCACGGACGGTCTGAGTTCTCCGAGACAAGGCCCCTGTCCCTCCCGGTGCCCCCACGCGCCACGCCTCTGCACCCCCCAGGCAGGTCCCCATCCCGCGGGTTCGCGTCACCTCCCCCAAAGAGGACCCGAGCCTCCCGGCCCACGCCGGGGTCGCC